TATCCAATAATGGTGTTATCCAGCAATTTATAATTATAATTTACAAGTCATCATTGACTGACTGAGTTTCAATTCAAATAAACTTGATTATAAAAAAATAATAAATTTATAATTATAAGTGTTTGTTGGATAACATAAATTATACATGTTTGCAGTGTTAAAAATTTATTGTGTATATATGTTATTCACACAAAATTGATACAGTAATAAGCTATGCAAATTATACAAAATATCACGATCCAAAAACCAAGAGTGTAAAAATAGACAAAAAAACAGATACACAATGTTAGTTCCTATAATATTAATTTATTATAACACTTACTATATTCTGTGCTCACAAATGTAAGTGTGCAGGTATTAATAGAAGATGTTTATCATCTTGAATGTAACAAGGTGTAGCATGAATATTGCATTGATATTTAGATCTAATTTGTGAGATAATACTAGCTAATTCAATTTCGTCAAAATTAAATTTTGATTCTTTTGGTACAAGATTTCCTTTTGATTTTTTTTTAGTTTTTTTTTTGGTGTCTCTTCATCTGAATCACTAGATCCTTCAATTAAATCCTATAAAATGTATATACTGTTAAAATAGCAATCTATATTATAACTTATTATATATGAGTGCTGCCAAGAGAAAATGTCCCTTTGGACTTTCAATCATATTTTGTATCGGATATAATCTCTAATGAATTAAATAGATTATGTCCAGTACAAAATATAATTGAAAGTCTGAAGGGACATTTTCCCATGGCAGTACTCATATAATATATATTTGCTTAACTTTTTTAATCTTTGGTATTCACTAATAAATGTATCATAATTATCTCTATTATCTAAAGCTATTGTATGTCCGCGACCATTGATTTTATAAGAGACTTGAATATTATCTTTATTAAGATTATTATTATTGATGCATTTTTTGAATATGTTTAACTAAATTATCTTGAAAAATATCAAAATTGCCTAATTTAAATATGAACTATTTTGCTGGTATTAGATCAGATTTGTTAACTTTAATTATAACCAGGACTTCAAATTTTGAATCAAAATTAGAACCTTTCTCTGATGAAATAGAGTTTATTGAAGAGTCAGAATCATTATCATCATTAATACTTGTAGTTAAAGAAAAGTCAGTATCTTTAACTCTTTTTTTAGCATGATTACTAACACTTGTAGTAGCTGAAGAAAAGTTTGTCTCTTTGAAACTTTTTTTAGTACAATTATATCATGAATAACATGTTGAACAAAAACTAAAATTAAATGATTAACTAAAATTGTAGTTATACGCAAAAATATGATCATAGTTTTTAAGAAATAGTTTTTGATTTATTTGAATATTATTAGGATTGTAAAGTCTACTATAAATTTGACTTTTAGATTGAGTTTTGTTACGAGTTGGTTTTTGATTAGTATCGCATTCACATAAATCTTGTGTTAGGTCAGTAAAACAGAATAAACATTTTTGATATGAAAAACATATTCCAATTTTGTAAAATAACATTTTTTGCTTTTTTTTTTATATATTAGCGATTTATGACTATTAAATATTTAAACTGTTACTGGACAGAATTGCACAATAGAA